CTGCAGAAGGAGGCAAGTATGTGCCCGAGCCAAGAACCTGTAAGCACATCACAGCCTTGAGGCACAAGTTAGAGCCACAAAAAAACACAAAACCAAAAGTCTAACCCAGTTGTGAACACAGTCCCTGCATCTCCTTATCAGGCCTAGACTGAAAGTGGAATGTGGGATTTACAGTGATAAGTGGGACTTTCCATTTGTTTTGTGGGCATTTTGGAAAAGTCCCCACTGCCAGGTCTATAGCTAACGCTATTTATCTGCCTGTCTAAAATCTTGCTGCTGTAGATCTGGTCGAAAACTGAGCACTGGAAGTAAATTATCCAATTATTTAAAATCTTTTTTCCTTGCAAGTTGCTTGTAAACCTGTCTTTATTTCCACAGATGTATTTTGCATTTAAAGTATTCACCAAACAGCTTCTGCCAAAAAATTTCAGTGTAGGGTCTGTTTTCCAGAATGATTATTTTATCTGTTTACTCTTTTTACTTTTGATGTGTGAATGATTCCCTAAATGGTGAGGTATTATTTCTGCTTCTTGTCCCAGAGGATTGCACATTTTTTTATCCAAAGAGTAAGAAACTATAAAAAGAAAGATGCAACATACAATATATAGCCTCTTTTGCAACACAAATACGGATAACATTCATGTGGCGCACATCCCTGAAACTCCCATTTATAGAGAACATACCCATTCATGAATAAGAAAATATAAAAATACAAACCTAATAAAACTCTGGAGCCATTTAGTATCAGCCCCAGTCTTTGCTCCGTTCTGCAATATTCATCTGGGGCTCTGACAGACTTAGCCGTGGCAATAATGTGTGAGTGTTACTGATTTCAGCTGTCCGCAGACTTCCCCCTGGTTACTGCCGCTGTGGTGGGAGTGGTGGAACGGATGTTGTCTCAGTCGCTCCCATTCAAAGTCTGGTACATTAGCTTAAATCACCGATGAAACAGGGTTGTGTTAAGATGCCAGATCGTGAACTGCAGCAGCTGAGGTACACAGCTAAACAGATTTAATGGGTCTTTTGCTGCTGAAAAGAACCATGCTGTATGTTTCCCTCCCCCTCTTTCCCCCCCCTGCAAATCTCTATGGAAGGGTTGGAGACGAGAGCCAGGGGGAATAATAGCATAAAGAAGTGCAGATAAATCAGCTAGAGTGTGACTATCAAACCTATACTTCTAATTTATAAACCTTTGTTTCCTGAAGTAAAAAGAAATTGGTGATGGGATCTTGTTGGGTTGTTTTATTCATTTCTATCCCAAAGGTGTTTTTCTGACCCCAGCTGCCTCAGGATTTACTTTCTTATATCTCATCAGGTTACTGGTCTGCCTGCCTGGTTTCTTGTCAATGGCAGATGCTTCACAGGGGAAGGTGAAAGTTTCACTTGGAAGCCACAAATAGAGATGTCTGGGAAGAAAAATGCATCATTCAAATTAATTAATGTTAAAGTTTTATCTTTTAATAGGTAAATTAATCTTTTTAATCAAAAGATTTTAATTCAAGTTTTATCTTTTCTCTTAGCACTTGGCTGGCTGGCATAGATCTGGTGAGGCTGCTCTACAGTCTTGTGGCTTTTTTTTCCATTTCAGCGCCATTTCCTTTTAGCATCTCTCTGTGCACAGTTTGAGGTTTTGTTAGTCTTCCTAGAAGTCAGAACTGGAAAACAGACTCCTTTGAAACACACAGAACAAGAGAATTTTTGTGAAGGAGAAAGTGAATTAATGGGAGATACTTCTTGCTGTTAAAAAGCAGTCCTAGGTCTCACTTATGGACAGTTGGTGTATAACTTCTCTAATGCAAGATACCGCTCGCAGGCTGGTCAGCAATTGTGCCATTGCCTGTACGGAACTGAAAAGGGTATTTATTTTTATCCTGCTATTGGCTTATGGGATTTGAAAGTACCTTTTTTAGCTTGCATAATTGTAAATATTGTTACTGGACCACCCGACCTCCCAATGCTTGCTCCAGGGTTTGACCTTCTGACCGGCTCCAGGAGATGGCAAATTCCACAGGTTGATGACACGCTGGGTGAGGGAGAGGCTCCTGTTATGGAGACTTTTAATTTTGCTAGTGAGCTCCTGTCCTCATGCTTTAGGATGAGCAAAAAGGTTGAGGGCTGATCTAAGTTCCCCTTAGAGCCGTCTTAAATCTCGATTGCCTCTTCTAGCTCTATGCTATGCTTGGCCAGAGGCTCATACTGTTTTCATTCTCTTGTTACCTGTCAAGCCTGGCTATGTAAATGTTGTATAAGAAATGCTAGTAGGTACTGTGCAGCTGCTTTGGGTACAGGACCCTCTCCCCATAAATAAAAATTCCTATTTCTGTGTTGTATCATAGTTAACTTTCATGAGCGTTCCTGCTACTCCATCCAGGAGCTCTTTGAGGAGAAGTGAGTCATGCATTACCACCCCAGAGCATGCAGTGCACATTCCCACAAGCTCTTCATAAACCCACAGCTGGAAGCTTCCAAGAAGACACCTGCTCCGCGTTCGGTGCACAGAGCAGGGACTTAAAAGAGGCTTTTAAATGTACTTTCAGCTGAAAGAGGTTTTTTTTCCTTCCACTGATCACTCCTTCCCTCACCTCGCACTTCTCAAGTCACGTCGTGCCAGGACCCTCTGCTTGTCTCAGCTAT